CGCCATCCCTGGAGATGCTGAAGAGCCGGCTGGTCCGACGGGGCTGGGCCCTGCTGGGGGGACGGGACCCGATGCCTCCCGAGGGCCCCTCCAGCCCTACGATTCTAGGATTCCCCCCGGCTCTGCCCCGGTTGCTGGTGTGACCCTCACCCCTAGCGTGGTTACCGAGCAGTGCGAGTGGCGCCTAGACCATAGCAACAGCTCAGCCCAGGAGCCCCCCCAGCCGGGGCTGGGAGCCAGCTGGCTTTTGGCTCGGAGCTCCTGAACTCGGCTCCCGAGGGCCCAGGGTCAAATCCGCCTGGTGGCGGCTACGCACGCATCTGGTGTAGGGCTGTGTCCCGTGTGGCGGCACCCAGGGAGCAGAGCACAGGCCAGCTGGCTTTCTCGCTCGAGCTGTGGCGACTCTTTTGCCAAGCTCTCAAAGCCCCAGGTTCAAATCCACTTGCAGGTGGTTCCACCTGCTCTTGTCCCTGGGGAGGGGTCATGTGAGGGCCAGGTGCCATTTCCTTTCTCTGCTTTGCCCCGCAGAGCCGGGGGAGCCGAGGGCTGAAGAGGGGGGCCCTGGATTTACTTTCAACTTTGCCAGCCTCCGGGAGATCTTCAGAGAGTTCTTCAGGGGACGAGAGCCCTTCTACGGTGAGTGGAGCCCGGCTCGGGGGAGCTGCGGGCAGTTTGTGCTGGGAAAGTTTCCCTGAGGAAAAATGAGATTTTTGTCCAGAAAAGGCCAATTTCTTACATCCCCCTTTGCTTTGTTTCACATAAACCGAGCTAGGTTTCATCTCGAGGGGTTGTTTCTTTCCCGGTCCCCCCAGAGTGAAAGCGGAGGGAGTCCCAGGAGAGGTTTCGCCCACGTTTTCCAGTGCTGGAAACATTCAGAACAGTTACGGAGAGGCAAAGGAGAACCAGCATAGCTGTCAGGAAAGCCATTGCCTGGACTCACTGTGTGACCTGGTTGCAAAGAGGGATAATGGGGAAAACGGGCGGGAGGGGGAGATAAAACATTAAAAATAACCCCCCTGAAGAAACCAAAAGCTCGCGCCCTCTAGAGCGTCAGCCCCCGGGATAGTTACAAGGGTCTAGTCTGAAAATCTCCCCCCACGTTCCCTGTCAAGCCCTAACTCCCTGCATGGACCACAGCCTGTTATCGACACAATGTCCCGCTACCACTTACCGATGGAAACCCCACCCGGCCCCAGGCGCTCCTGCGAAGGGTTAATTCCCCCATTGAGTGTCCCGTGCTCAGGGCCCGGCCCCGGGTCCCCTTCTGCCTTTCCTGCCAGCTGGACCCCCTGGGACCAAGTTCCCCCTTAACCGTCTTGTCACGACTCTTCGGCCCCCCTTGGCTGGGGCCCATGGCCAAAGGGAGCTGCAGAATCGGTGCTCAGGGTGGGGGCAGGGCACAGACCCATGGCTGCCCCTGCGCCTTGGGGCCAGACGTGCTGCCTGCTTGCAGGAGCCATGCGGAGCCAGAGGGACTGTGGGCTCCGTGTGAGTTCCGAGAGGGCTCTCGATGGCCACGGGGAGACTGAGGCTAATTCCAGGAGGCCAACGCGAGAGTGCTGGAAGCTCCCTAGAAGTGCAGAGTCAGGGGCACTCTGCCCCCAAGGCCCTGCGCCCAGAGGTGCCTACGTACCCCTCCCGGCGGCTGCTCAGCCCCTCGCCCTGCCCCGCCCCACCTCTTCCTCTAGGTGCGACCTGTCCCGGCTCCTCCCCTCCCTCCTGGAGCCTCCTGAAGGGGCGATCCGCTGTCCACGGCACTCGGGAAGTACTGGCAGGCGGGGCGAGGCAGGGCCATCCCTGGGGTTTATGGGCAGGACTATGAAACGGTGCCCTGTGCTCGATGGCGGCGGCGGCGGGGGAGTGGAGATTGTTTAGAGCCGCAGTTTTGTAACCTGCTGCCACACACCAGCGAGAGAGTTTCAATCTCGTTTTCCTGAGGCCTCTCGGCTCCCACTAGGTACCTGGGGCTGGCAAGGCCTGGTGAATGGCTTTTCGCAGGGTCCGTGCCGGGGGGCAGGCGTTTCCCCTGTGAGCCAGCTCCTTGCTGGAGGAATAACGGTAGTTCGAATTAGGAGCTTTAATTCGAACCACTTAGCTGCCGCATGTAGCCGTGGGCAGGGAGTTCGAACTATGGGCATTTAAAAATGGCGGAGCCCAGGAACATGCAAATGAAGCCCGGGATATTTAAATCCTGGGCTTCATTTGCAAGTTCGAATGCCTACGTTAGCCACCCTCGTTCCAACTAGACAGTGTAGACGTCCCCTGTCTGGGGAAGGGCGGCCCTGGGAGACGTGGTCAGCAGGGCCACCAGCTGTCGAGAGGCGCAGGGCTCGAGGGCTGCCCGAGTGTCTCGCCTGTGAATGCGGAGGAGGTCTGCTGGTGAGACAAGCAGCGGAGCGGCCGCAGGGAGCGAATCTCCCGAGGGCTGGGCCGCGTGAGGGGCGCTCTGGGGGGTGGCCAGGTGTCCGGTACTGACCCGGATAGTCTGGTATTTTTGCCTCCTGTCCAGTAAAAACATTCAGAGAATACCGGACTCCTAAAATGGCCGGTACTTTTTGATTTTTTCCCATCCAGGAGGTGAAAATCCTGGGTGCTTACTGGTTCCACAGGGGAGCTGACTGGCCCGGAGCAGGGAGACCAGATGACGGGTGGCTGGAAGCCTGTTAGGGCCAAAAGCCTCAAAAGCATTTCTTAATTTTTTTTTTTTTTTTTTTGCTTAACAACCCTTGGGGTCCTTTTTCTTTTCTCAACAGAACTTTTTCCACGTTTTTTCTGGGGGGTGGGAGGTGTTCAGTATTTTTAGTTAAACCATCTGGCAACCCTACGCTCTGGACGTAACACGTGTGATTTCTTGCAGGCATGCCCGGTGATGGGAGGAGAGCCACAGACACAGCCCGCACGGAATCCTGCCCTGGCTACGAGTCACCCGAGATCTATGAGATTTATGGCGGGTGGAAGGAGTCACACAAGGGGTATGAGCCACAAGGTGCATGGAATGAGTCTCAGTACGAGTCAGCCCCCGGATACGAGCTGAACCAGGCGTACGCGGCCCACAACAGACCAGGGACGCCCCCCGGATACGAGCTGAACCAGGCATACGCGGCCTACGACAGAGCGGGCTCGGCCCCCGGATACGAGATGAACGAGGCGTACGCGGCCTACGACAGAACGGGGACGCCTCCCGCATACGAGATGAACGAGGCGTACGCGGCCTACGACAGAGCGGGGACGCCCCCCGCATATGAGATGAATGAGGCGTACGTGTCGTACGACGGGTGGAACGTGGCACCAGGCAGAGCGGAGACGCCCTCCGTGTACGAGCTGAATGAGGCGTACGTGTCGTACGACGGGTGGAACGTGGCACCAGGCAGAGCGGAGACGCCCTCCGTGTACGAGCTGAATGAGGCGTACATGTCGTACGACGGGTGGAACGTGGGACCGAGCAGAGCGGGGACACCCTCCGTGTACACCTCACACGACGGGTGGAGTGGGCTGCAAGACCGAGAGAAGTCAGCTCTCGTGTACGAGCTGCTGAGCGCATGGGGCAGGGGCCGGGCCAGGCCGGAGGCAGCCCCTGGAGACAGGTCCCACGAGGCACGTGCATCGTGTGAGGACTGGCGTGGGACACGAGCCCGGCCCGAGCCAGCCCCGAGTCCTCAGATGTGTGCCGGGTGGAACAGGCTGCAAGCGGGCTGCAAGGAAGGGGTGTCCAAGGAGCTGGCCGTGGGCTCCGACCCAGCTCTCAGACCCATGTCCCCTCACGCGTGGCAACGAGCAGGGGCTGTCCGGAGCCAGGGCTGATGAGGAGAGTCGACCCCCAAGTGGAAAGGGGGAGCTGCCTGGGGGCAGGAGGCTGCCGGACAGGGCAAGGAGGCCGTCGGATGGGATGGAGAGGTTCCTGGGCGGGGTGAAGAGGCTGCTGGATGGAACCAAGAAGCTGCTGTGTCGGCGGAGTGAGCTCCAGGGGGGAGCCAGCCCCGTCCCGGGGGAGCCACCGGGCTTCTCCAGGGAGTCCGAGGGAGCCGGGTGGCTCCCGGATATCGCCCGCTGGCCGCAGGCGGAGCTGCCTCCGGCGCGGGGCAGAACCAGCCAGCTCCCGGGCACAGCCACTGGGCACCGGAGCGCCAGCAGCAGCCCACCCCACGGGACAAACCTGCCGGGCCGGCCCCCGGGGGGCACGAGCCGGCTCCCGGACATCACCAGCCACCTCCTAGGCCAGACGCGCCAGCTCCCAGGCAGGAGCCACCTGGGGGAGCAGCCGTGGGGGCCCAGCTGTGCCCAGCACTTCTTGCTCGCCAGGCTGGGGCGGATGCTGTGAGCCCAGGCGCCGGGGGAGGCCACGGGCAGAGCAGTAAACCCTGGGCCCACAGCTCTTAGGTCTGTGCCTGGATTATTCCCGGAGAGGCCAGCCCGACGGGGGAGGGGAACACTGCCATGTCTCTTGCTCAGTCCCCTCCCCGCCCCAGATTCCTTGGGGACATGGCAGTCCTGCCTCGGTTTCCCTCATTCCGTGTCTCCCCCCCCACTTTCTCTCCCCAGCAAGGAAGCGGCAAGGAATCGAGGTCCCATTCAGATTTTATCCCTCTCTCTCACTGGCTCCCCTGGCCCGTGGCCAGCACCTTTGCTAGCTCCCTGAGTTAACCCCTTAGCTCCCCGCCCATCACAGCCCCCCTCTGTACCACGCAGCGTCTCTCCCTCCCCTTGGCCTGCCCAGCCACCCATGCCAACGGGGCTGTGCAGTGACGGGCTCTGACACCACAAATCGCCCCACTCCGGTGACTGCCCCTTCCAAAAGGCCAGCCCAGCCCCTCGGGCGCTCACCCCGCAGAGCTCGCTGTCAGGCCAGCCCAGCCCCTCGGGCGCTCACCCCGCAGAGCTCGCTGTCAGGCCAGCCCAGCCCCTCGGGCGCTCACCCCGCAGAGCTCGCTGTCAGGCCAGCCCAGCCCCTCGGGCGCTCACCCCGCAGAGCTCGCTGTCAGGCCAGCCCAGCCCCTCGGGCGCTCACCCCGCAGAGCTCGCTGTCAGGCCAGCCCAGCCCCTCGGGCGCTCACCCCGCAGAGCTCGCTGTCAGGCCAGCCCAGCCCCTCGGGCGCTCACCCCGCAGAGCTCGCTGTCAGGCCAGCCCAGCCCCTCGGGCGCTCACCCCGCAGAGCTCGCTGTCAGGCCAGCCCAGCCCCTCGGGCGCTCACCCCGCAGAGCTCGCTGTCAGGCCAGCCCAGCCCCTCGGGCGCTCACCCCGCAGAGCTCGCTGTCAGGCCAGCCCAGCCCCTCGGGCGCTCACCCCGCAGAGCTCGCTGTCAGGCCAGCCCAGCCCCTCGGGCGCTCACCCCGCAGAGCTCGCTGTCAGGCCAGCCCAGCCCCTCGGGCGCTCACCCCGCAGAGCTCGCTGTCAGGCCAGCCCAGCCCCTCGGGCGCTCACCCCGCAGAGCTCGCTGTCAGGCCAGCCCAGCCCCTCGGGCGCTCACCCCGCAGAGCTCGCTGTCAGGCCAGCCCAGCCCCTCGGGCGCTCACCCCGCAGAGCTCGCTGTCAGGCCAGCCCAGCCCCTCGGGCGCTCACCCCGCAGAGCTCACTGTCAGGCCAGCCCAGCCCCTCGGGCGCTCACCCCGCAGAGCTCGCTGACAGGCCAGCCCAGCCCCTCGGGCGCTCACCCCGCAGAGCTCGCTGACAGGCCGCGCCCTGGCGGGAACCGCAGGCTTACGACCAGCAGCAGTCCCGGGCACCGTGGAGACGACACAACTAGATGAACAGGCGCGTGCGCTCTTGCCGGTTCGGCAGCGGAGG